TGTGGTAGCACCCTGCCCAGGCTCAGCACCTCCAAGCTGCACAGAGACCCCACAAATGCCCAGAATCCTCTGGGGGGGGTGCACAGGTTTAAACAACTTTCAATAAACAACTTTCTTTTGAACTTGACCAAGGGGCCTCCCCCACCTATCACTTGCCAGTCATGGGAACACAGCCCCCCAGCCTGCAGAGTCACCACCTCACATGCCCTAAGAAGGCCTTCTTCCTCTGTAATCCAACCTTCATGGAACTACTCCAGAGCTGGCTTTACTTACCTGGCAACTTCTTGGAGCTGTGGAGGGAGGGGAAGCTCCTTGTTTCAGTGGGAAAGCAAGACCCATTCAAGCAAGCCCAGGCAATGGAAGACCATCTTGATGGCAAGTTATGTGTCACAAAAGCCAAGTGCGCTGGGCTAAGAAAACCATGCCTCAGGGAACCACCGTGTAAACCCTGCTGGGACTAGTCCCACCCCTGGGCATGCAAGCACATATGCACACACACACATATACAAACAAACAATACCTGTATCTCTTTTCTTTTTTTTCTTTTTTGAAAAGTTTTTCAGTTTTATTTCTTATACACATAATACAAAATGTACATTTTCTTATACATAATTAATCATATATATACATGTTTTCCTTAAAGAAAGCATTAAAATAAGGCATTTTAATTACATTTGAAGTTGCTCTACTACCCTTTCTTCCCTCATTTCGCAACAAACCTCCTTCTTCTCCTCTTTCCCTTCCCTCCTTCCTCTCCTCTTCTACTTTCTCCTTTCTCCTCTCCTACCTCATCCTACTTCCCCTTCCTTTCCTCCACTCCTCACTTCTTTTCCCTCTTCTCACCTTCTCTCCTACTCCTGTCCCCTACCCTTCCTTCCTCTCCTTTTCCCTTTCTTCCATTCATCTCCCTCCCTCTCCTCTTCCTACCCTCTCCTCCTCTCTCCTTTCTATCTTCTTTGCTGTGAAATATTCTCCTTGTTTGGTATCCGAGCAACTCCTGTATTCTAATAGTATATACTTTCTTTCAATTTCTTTTCAGATTTATTCTATCTATCAGTATTATCATAATTGTACATTTATTCTTATTATCTTTTTTTCCCCCCTCCCATCCCCCTTTTTCATTTACTTTGGTGTCATCTGAGTTTCTATTTCTTTATTATCCTCTCCCTCGTTTAACTTTGTATTATCTAAATCATTTATTTATCCTCTTATCTTCATATTTCTTTTCTAACCATATATAAAATCTTCCCCATGTCTTCAAATACACTAATTCCTCTTTATCTCTTATTCTTAAAGTTAATCTATTCATTTCTGCACAGTCTAAAATCTTTTTTATTACTTCACCTTCTCATGGAATTTTTACTGTCTTCCAATTTTGTGCAAATACAATTCTTGCTGCTATTATTATATGTATAGTTAAATACACATCTTCTTTACTATATCTCTCTGGGAGAATACCCAATAAAAAAAACCTCTGGTTTTAATTCTATAGATTTATATAATATTTCTTCCAACCATATTCCAATCAATAATTTTTCGCTTCTAAACATGACCACCACATATTATAGTATGATCCCGGCAAATGCAAACATTTCCAACATTTGGCTGCTTTATCCTTAAACATCTTTGCTAATCTTTCTGGTGGCATATGCCACCTATAAAACATTTTGTATAGATTTTCTTTATATGCAGTTGCCATTGTCAATTTATAATATCTTTCCCATAGTTGTTACCATTTTTCTAATTCTATTGCATATCCAACATTTTTCGCCCATGTTATCATTGTCTCTTTTACCTCTTCATCTTCCAATCTAATTTGCAACAAATAATTATACAGTCTTTTAATCATTTTTTCATCCTTGTCAGTCATTATCTGATCCAATTCCGATTCCCTCAAATTAAAACCATATTGTTTCAAATATTTATCATATCTTGATTGTATCTGCAGCCGTGTATACCAGTCAATCTCAATCCCTTGTTTTTCTAAGTCTTGTTTCTGTTTTAATTCTCCCTTCTCTGTTAAAATGTCTTTATATCTTACAATCTTGTCCATGTTAATTCTATTTGGCTGTGTCAACACTTCTATTGTTGAAAGGGGGAGGGGTGTGGCCAGTGCCATAGGTGGTACAGCAAATTCTGGGGCTCCTGGTAAATGCTGATATCTCAGCTGCTTTAGGGGATCCACAGGGATCATAGCTGTCCTGTAGGGACAGTGAAGAATGGAGGCACAGGCAAGCACAAACAGGGAAGTTGCAAGTTCCCTGAAGTGTCTGCATCAGCCTCCGACCCAGCAGCAAGAGAAGACAGTCATCAGGAGCTATCAAAAGCCGGGCAGCCACACACAAGAAGAGAAGGAAAAAAGAACGAGGTAATCATCTGGGTGAGAAACTGTGGTTTTGGAAACAAGATTCCTTTATATATTTAACTCCTGAACTTTTAAAACTATTTTACTTGAGAAAATTGGCAAAGAGAGAGGGAGGGAGTGGAAAATGCTACCTCCCCACCTCTGGAACAACTGCAAAGAAGCGGAAGCCATTAATAAAAGCTAATTAACAAAAGCTGAAAAAGTAATTTAACAAATTGAAAGCAGATTGGGAAAAGAGGCATTTTTGGCTACCGAACTGTAATTTGAAAATTTGAGTTTGGAGATTTGAAGCTGTGGGTTTATTTTTATTTTTTTTCTCTTTTAAGACTATTTTGGATTGCAGAGGAAATTAAAGAGATATATTGGACAAAGGAAAAGATGAGAAGGGAGTGACCTTGAGATGTTTTGGAAACTGGCAAGAAGATTTTGATAAGTGGTCTTGTGACTTTGTAACAGAAGGGGGAAGATATAGAAGAAAAAAAGAAGAAGAAAGAAAGCTGTTTGTTTTTTTCTTTTGCTTGATGGAGTTATAAATTTTGGAAGATTTTCAAATAGTGATATTTTGGAATATTATTTTTTCTTTCTGGTTTTTCTCTTTTTGTGCCTTTTCCTTTTCCTTTTTTCTTGTAGAAATTCCCTCTTCCTGGACTTAAAAGAGTTCGTTGGCAGGCTTTTTGTTTTTTCTATTTTTCTTTTCTTTGGGAGATATATTTTTTTCATCTTTTTATTGCCTGGTAGGATATTTTGGGCAAACACCTGGGTTTTGGACTAGTGAATTTTTATTTTTGTGCTGATCTGGTTTTATCTTTTTTTTCTTTCTTTCCTTTTTTCTTTCTTTCTTTCTTTCTTTCTTTCTTTCTTTCTTTCTTTCTATTTTTTTCCTCTATTTTTGCCCTTTTGGGCTGCTTGATTGTTCTTGGCTTTTTGTATGGTTTATGGATCAAATCTATGTGGATTAGGTTATCAAGAACCTGAAGAGTCTGATTGGGCATTTTGAATTTAAAGAAATCAAGTATTTGGATTATAAAATTGGGTAGTAAGATTTGAAAAAAAATAAGATGAAGAAAAAAACACATCTATCATCACCATCAATATCAACAATGCCTGGTACTACAGGGCAAATACAACAGAAATTGCATCACAGCAAGAGAAAGTCAACACAGAATTTAAAAATATGCTACACACTATATATGAAGAACTTAAGACAAGATTAGACAAGGTAGATGGGAGAATGGAAAAAATGGAAGGAAATATGGAAAAAATGGAAGGAGAATTGAAAAAAGTTAAAGAGATGATAGGGAAAGATGAACAATGATTGCAGCAAATGGAAGAAAAAGCAGAAGTAATGAAGAAAAAAGTTGAAGAGATGGACTATAGACTTACAATTACTGATAAAAATCAGGAAAAAACAATTATAATCCTGGAATCTAAGATTTCAAAACATTGAAGAAGAAAAGGGAGAAAATTTAGCAGAGAAAATTGCAGAGATACTAGAGAAGCAATGGAAGAAAGAAAGGAAGGGATATTAAGAGGAATCGACAAGATATACAAAGTGCACATAAGATATGCAATGAGACATAATCTACCTAGAGATATTCATGTCAGATTCACCAAGAAAACACTGAGAACAGAGATATTGCAATTGATGAGATACACGACAATAAAGCACAAAGGGAGAGAAGTAGTGGCACTGAAACAAATTCCAAGAAGAGAGAGAGATCTGAGAAAAGAATATCAATTTTTCACAAAATGTTTGATAAAGAGAGAAATAAATTTTAGATGGTTGATTCCAGAAGGAATATTGGTGAACTGGCAAGAACAAAGATACAGATTAGACTCAGTAGAGAAAACAGAGTTATTTTATAAACAATACATAGATGTCCAAGAGGAAGGAAGGTTGAGGGAAGAAAAAGAGGATGAACAACAAGAGGAGAAGAAAGAACAACCAAGAGAGACAACGAAAGAACAAGAAGAGAGAGTATTAAGAGAAGGAGCGGGGGTGAAAGACGTTAAGGAACTAAGGGAGATAAGAATGACTAGATCGATAAAACAAATAAATAAATAAGAAATGGAAGAAGAAAATAAAATAATATATTTGAATATAAATGGATTAAACTCGGCAATAAAGAGAAGGAAAATATTAAATAAATTAGAGAAGCTAAAATTAGAAATTATATGCTTACAAGAAGTGCATATTAGAAAGCAACATAAAAAACTTCTGAAGTGAATAAAATTAGCGACATTGTATTCAACTTTGGCTTGTCAAAGCAAAAGAGGAGTAGCATTTAATTAGAGGAGGATTTGGTCTACCAGATTGGGAATTGTATCACCAAGCGGCAATGTTAACTTGGATTAAAGAATGGATCTTAATGAGAAATACAGGACTACTGACTTCGGAAGGACTTAACTTACAACTAGGATGGCATGCTTTCTTATGGCATGGAAAAAATTGGAGCCATGGATACTTCCAGAGACATTGTGTAAGGAATGGTTTGTTGATAGTATGGGAAAGAGTAAAAGAAAAACATTATATGGAAGTACCAATGTGGCTTTCAACAATAGAAGCGTTGACCTGTATCTTTTTTCATGGGCTGAGGTGTCCTGGAGAATTCGGAAGGAAGGAGCACAACATGGAGAAGAAATAACCAGCACTTTATTTAAGGACTCATTTCATTTCATTCTATTTATATTTTATTTCATTTATTTTTTATTTTATTTCCTCCAATATGAGCACAATGAGGTGGGGGCCCGCTCCCCAATTGCTTAATGTCAGTCAGGGCTTATTTAAAGCTTCTGTTCTTGTGCATAAGCAGCTTCAATTTCTTCTCGAAGAATCAAAAAGAACTTCTCCCAGGCTAACTGGGCATCATCAGTAAACTCTTCTTTGAGGAGATCTTGGAAGACAGAGAGAATGGCCTGAAATAGGAACTAGGTAAAGGCAGAGCTATGAGAGGACAGTCTGAGACAAGTGTTAGAGGACTCCCACCCACATCCAAGTTCACTCACCCTGGGAGCCTCCGAAAGTGAGCTACCATGCAAGCAAGGGGACCCCCCCCACCAGATGCTCTATCTTTTTGCATAAGCTCTCATGGCCCACTGAGGTCCAGATCATGGATACTGAAGGCAGGCAGGCAACTATGTGCCAAAAACTCCCCTCTGGGGAAGGGATGGCCACCATGAAGTTACCTCAGCTGCCCCTTGGCAGACCATGGGTCTGCTTCCCTTCTTGTGTACCTGGAACATGCTTAATGGGACCTTGTGTATGTTCTTGTGGCTTTCCACCAGCCGCTCAATGAGCTTGCAGGCTTGCTTCCAGTGACACATGCTTTCAATCAGCTGGTTCAGGGTCACCATGATCCTCCGGCCATGGAAGCCCACCTCTGGGATCATCATCAGGTCTCCTTCATTTGGAATGTTCTTGAAATACTGCTTACTCTCTGGGGATTCTTTGAAGAACCTGAGCAGAAGGAAAAGAGGCAAATTTTGCTCAGCTGCTCTCTCTCCCTATGCTGAGCTGGACTGGACTGAGCAGTTCTGCATTATATAGCAATAGCAATAGCAATAGCAATAGCAATAGCACTTACACTTATATACTGCTTCACAGGGCTTTAGAGCCCTCTCTAAGTGGTTTACAGAGTCAGCATATTGCCCCCAACAATCTGGGTCTGCATTTTAGTAGCCGCAGAAGGACGGAAGGCTGAGTCAATCTTGAGCTGGTGAGAATCTATGCTCTTTATTTCCCCAGGCTGGACAGATACCTGGCCAAACAAGATTTCTCACCCCTGTCAACCAAAGGAATCCAGATGCTGGCATCTGAAAGAGTGGAGGCCAGTGGCTTATTGGCCTAATAACCCTAATGCAGGTCTTGTTAAGGCTGAATTCCTTCTACAGAAGAATTATTGAGTCTGTCATCTGCACCTCTATAACTGTCTGGTTTGGCTCTGCAACTCAACAAGACAGACCCAGACTTCAGAGGATAATTAGAACTGCAGAAAAAACAATTGCTACCAACCTGCCTTCCATTGAGGATGGCAGGTTGGCTGCTGTTTTTTCCACCTGTATACTGCACGAGTCAAAAAGAGGGCTGTGAAAATATTTACAGACCCCTCACATCCTGGACATAAATTGTTTCAACTCCTACCCTCAAAACAACGCTATAGAGCACTGCACACCAAGACAACTAGATACAAGAACAGTTTTTTCCCAAACGCCATCACTCTGCTAAACAAATAATTCCCTCAACACTGTCAAACTATTCACTAAGGCTGCATTACTAGTACTATTAATCTTCTCATCGTTCCTATCACCCATCTCCTCCCACTTATGACTGCATGACTGTAACTTTGTTACTTGTATCCTTACGATTTATATTTATATTTATTGTTTCCTGATTGCTTATTTGTACCCTGACTATCATTAAGTGTTGTACCTTATGATTCTTGATGAATGTATCTTGTCTTTTTATGTACACTGAGAGCATATGCACCAAAGACAAATTCCTTGTGTGTCCAAACCCACTTGGCCAATAAAGAATTCTATTCTATTCTATTCTATTCTATTCTATTCTATTCTATTCTATTCTATTCTATTCTATTCTATTCTATTCTATTCTATAGTGCTCAAAAGGCCAAGAAGAGGCTGGTAGTATGGTTCAGGCCTGACTGAAGACCTTAAGCCTCAGGATACAAAAGAGTATCACCTCAATCCACCCACCCACCCACCCCATCTGATTTGTGCAGTAAATCATGGGGGAGGCTATATTTATGGTCTCCAATGGGGTTAGGGGCCATGTGGGAGGGTCTCCTTGGTAACAGCCTCCAGGCATAGAGCCAGAATATCCACAGCTGTCTTTTTGGTAGCAGGAGAAACTATGTTACTTCTTGTGGCAGCAGTTGGATGCTTGTCATTTATAGTCTCTGTGATGTTTTCATTTTTTAACAAAGTGTTTTAATTCTTGCATTTATTAATCCTCTTCCAGGGGAGTATAGCAACAAGGAATAAACCTCAGTAGCAAGGAATCCACTTTCCCGCCCCATACAAAATCAAGACAATGTCATGTATCTGGGAAGAGTCCCAGTCCCACTATTGGGTGGCCAAGAAGGCTGGGTCTCTTGGTAGACTTTCTCTGACCACCAGAGCTTCCACAAAAGGGGACTCAGTTTTCTACTGCTAGTACCTGATGATAACAAGTCTGCCATTTTCTTCAGCATTGTCAAACACCTTTCCCCAAATATCTCGGATCAGTTGCTGGTCCCCTTCTGTCAGATCCTTCAAGGGATCTGAAGTGGGTGGTCTGGAAGGAAAAGAAGATGATGTTCCCTGACAGGCTTTTGAACAAGATGAGCTGTGTTCCCACAGTGGGCTGAACCAGGTCAAATAACTAACAGAATGAAGAATTTTGGTTCGCAGCTTTAGCTTTGTTTTGTTACCTAGGGCCTTGCGTGGGTATTCTGCAAACTCCATAAAGTAAAATAAAAATGGGTGCATTTGGTAACCAGCTAAATGTATTGTATGAACGTGCCAAGAAAGTGTGTATGGGTTCAGCCCTGATCACCATGGTTCCAAATGATGAAAGGCATGACAGTGCACCAAGCTCTGTCCTCATGTGTTTGCAATGCGGTGATTCTCACCACCACCCCTGGCCCACCTGCAACTTCAGTGTCTATGAGGGACAGAGTCTGAAAGAGCAGCCCTGAAAAGAACAGCATCAAACTACCCCTTGCTAGTACTGGAAGTTGGCTAACAGCGGTTAGGTTTGCACATTTTACCTATAAAGCTGTGAGGTAGTGAAATAGTTTGCCTCCTGAAGATGTGTGTGCTCCATCACCGAGGTTTTCAAGAAACAATGGGACAGACATTTTTTTCCGGGATGGTCTGAGGATTCCCAACCTAAGCAGAGGATTGGACTAGAACAATCCCCCTTTGGGCACCAGAGGCCGGTTCCAGGGAGAAAGGTTTTTCGGCAGACTGGAGGGGGCCTGCACCTGTGGGTGGGGCTTTGCGTGTTTGCACAGCCCAGCTGCTGCCATGCTGCAGACTGGTGCCAGTCCATGGACCAGGGGTTGGGGACCCCTGGACTAAAAGACGTACGATCCTTTTGACTCTATTATTAACACCTCTGATTGCCTTAACCATAACTTACATACATAATGTAATTAGCTAGCTTCCATACTATAGAGACATAAATTAAGTAGCCACATAACCCATTAGAACAGCTCTGTACGACTTGATTTTTAAAATGGGGCTGATTTCTCCTTTGTCTCTGTTTCTATGGTCAACAACAACTGCTCTGCAAATGGTGACTGCACTCCCCACCACCCTTCATTCTTTCCCTGAAAAGCTGCCCAAAGCTGCCTTTGGTGCTCCTGGCCTGAGCAAGAAATGCTGAAGGTATGTGGTGTCTGGGAGGGGTTGGGGGAAGGGGTGGAGGGGCTTCTGGGATCTGCCCAATGGTGGCTTTCAAAATTTTTTACTACTGGTTCTGTGGGTGTGGCTTTGTGGGCATGGCAGGGGAAGGATACTGTAAAATCTCCATTCCTACCCCACTCCGGGGAAGAATACTGCAAAATCCTCATTTCCTCCCAATCAGCTGGGACTTGGGAGGCAGAGAATAGATGGGGTGGGGCCAGTCAGAATTTTTACTATCGGTTCTCTGAATTATTCAAAATTTCCGCTACTGGTTCTCTAGAACTGGTCAGACCCAGCTGAAACCCACCTCTTGGTCTGCCCCTCCCCCATCCCAGGGCCTCCCCCCTGCCAAAGCAGCCCTTGCACACAGTCTCATGGAGCACTTCTCAGTGGTGAAGAATATGGGATGCGTGAGGGCGTGGGGGAGTTTTGAAGAATTCTGAAGGACAGAGCTGAAAATAAGAGAAGAAACTTGCAAAATCCCTCTCATGGAATATTGTGAAGAGGCAAGCCTTTTTCATGAGATAAAAGGGATGTGGTGAAAAATGAGCTTGAACACTTAGGCTGCTTTGGGGAGCACCGAAAATAAAGAAGCTGAAGAAGCTTCTTGGTTGAGAAGTGAAATATCTTGAAAGAAAAAACAGAAAGTCCAGTTGCCTCTTGAAAAAGCACCTTTGGGACAACCAGGACCTGGAGGACTGAGAATCTCCACAGACACGGAAAATAAAGTTGCCAACGTTGTAGCTCCCTTGTTCATTTTTAGGAGACAACTGTATTTGGTATCATAACCTATCAGGTTCCACTTGGTTCCAAGATGGTCACATCTCAAATCAGCATTGTTTTAATTTGATCAAAAGATTCAGAACATGACATTACCTCATGTTCAGAGGTAGAGCAAAACAGGACAGGTTTGGTTGTGCTTTTTAGAATGCCTAGAATTTAGCAACTGGTCATGATGAACCCTTTCTTCTACACAGGGCAGAATCATTTATTTAGTATTCTGCCCTTATTATTTTCACAAATAACTCAAGGCAGTGAACATATTCGGTACACTTTCCTCCTCCTATTTTCCCACAACAACCCTGTGAGGTGGGTTTGGCTGAGAGAGAATGACTGGCCTACATCACTCAGCTCGTTTTATGGCTAAACCGGGACTTAAATTCACGGTTCCTAGTCTAGGATGGCAAAAAACCAGAGGGAGGTTGAGGGCACCTTCCCCAAATAACATTCTCGGCCCTGGGTCCCACTGCCGGCCACTTCCAGGGGTGCCCCGGCAGCCGCCCCTTCACCCGCCAGGCAGTGGCCGAAGCGCCGTGGACCAGTTTGGGGCAGCGGGCGACTCACCCCACCATCAGCTTCCCGCTGGGACCCCCAAAGACGGCCATGACTGACACAAGGGAGCGCCCGTTAGGCTGGGGAGAGGGGCGGGCGGGGTAGGGTGGGGGGAACGAGTTCGCGGAATCTTCCGGGCGGCCGCATTCCTGGGCAGTTCGGGGAGGGGCTGGCCCGGAGATGCGGCCCTCTCCTCTCCCGCTCCAGTGCCGGGCAGAATCACGCGGGGCGGCGATCCACGCGAAGCCGAAGGCAAAGGCTGCCAATGAAGTTGCTGGGCGCTGAGGCTGCCTCTCCCCCCGCCAGCTGGCCGCGGGCCGAGGAAGCCGCGCTCTCCAGCCTCGCGTTCCGGCCACCGCTCCTCCCGGGCGCCTGAGGGTGGAGCTCGTTCGCCCCCGCCCCTGCCTCCTTCCCGGTCAAGCGCCGCCTGCAGCGCGTGCCCAACTGCCTTTCCTCCTGCCCCGCGGGGTCCCCCTGGCGCCACCGCCGGCCGGCCGGCCAGTCCGAGTCGGGTCCGAGGCTTGGCGGAGATGGCTGGCGCTTCGCTCGGCCGCTGCCCGCTGCTCTTCCTGCTCCTCGCCGCCGCTGCCCCCTCGCCGCCGGAGAAGAAGGAGGCTGAGCTGGCCGGAGGCGCCGAGGGTGAGCCGCGCATCTCCCGCTGCTCCTCTGCCAGGCGCCGGATCGGGGAAGCCGCGCCCGCTACCTTGACTCGAACGGGCGCGGCCCTCCGCCCGCTCTCAAAGGCGCGCCCCGTGCGGCTTCCCCTAGTCGCCCCAGGCGCCTCTCCTCGGCTAGCAGGCTGTCTCTGGAAGGAGTCTGTGCTGCTTTCCCTGGCAGGAAGCCCACCGGCCCCTTAGAGACGGACCGGCGACTAGGTGGCTCCAAAGGGCCTCATGCTGGCAGGGCTTTGTGGCATCTGGTCTGCAGCTTCTTCCTGGGCACCAGTGCCTCGGAAGGGTGGGCCAGTGCCCATGCACTCAGGGGCAGGGTTTGGCTTCCCTGGCTTCCATTCCTGGGTCAAGGGGCTGGGCTTCAGGGTAGGCTGCAGGCAGGCACATTGTCTTGCAGCAGCCTCAACAGGGCGCTCGCTTCCTCCCTTCCCTCCTTCCTTACTGATACCCACGTCTAGATTGCTTTGCCTGGCACAACTGTTCCTGGCGACATGCAGGGCAGCAGGGGCAGTATCATGCCTTTATCCAAAAGTCCCAGGGGATGGCCGTGCCCAGTCCTCAGGCAGTGGGAGGGAAGACTGAGTCCTCTTTTCCGGAAATGGGCTTGTTGTGCAAAGTCCAGTGCAGTGATGCCTGCAGGCTGGGGTGTGCCTGCCTGCCTGCCTGTCCTTGATCGCTGTGCTCTGTGACTCCCTCCCAGGACTCTCGGAGATCTCGTAATAGCATGTAGACACTTCCTGCTCAGAGGCTGCCTGTGTGGGTGATGGTCACTCCAAGGTCATTCCTGGGCCAGCCAGCCAGAGTAGCCACTGAAACCCACCTGAGACCTGCAATGGAGACAATGGCATTTGTGGCCAGGCAAGCCGCAGATCGTCCATTATGTGCTTGACCAGTAGCCCAGCCCCTCCACACCAGGACCTGTCTGCAGCTATGGCTGGGCGCCTGAAGGCTCTCTATGTGGTGGTTTTTCTTTTCTTCTCAGATCCAGCATTTCTTTCTGAGTATTTTTCCCAGAGCTCACAGACGCTGTCCTTCTACAGTTGGTATGGAAGTGCCAAAATTTTCCGTTTCCGTGTCCCAGAGGACACAGTGCTTTTACGATGGCTCCTGCAGGCTTCCAGAGACAAAGGCCCTGGATGTGGCAAGACTCAGGTCACCTTGTGAGTCTCCCCTGCTGCTGCTGTGGCAGGGAGTACCAGAGGGCTCAGGGTCTCTGTCCCAAGGGCCTCAGAGAGTGATTGATTCCTTCTCTTGACCTGTGTCCTCCAGCCACATCCGCTATGGTGCCCCTCCTGTCATCAACCCCCTGGGCACACAGTTTCCCGTGAACACAAGCATCCCTCCTTCCTTCAGCCATACTCTGACCTTGGATGCTGCTCTGCAGAACAGTACTTTTGTTAACCTCACTAACCCGGCTGCTGGGGACTGGTTTCTCGCTGCCCACCTGCCCACGGCATCAAGCAAGATTGAGGTGAAGGTGAGAACTGGGCTGGCAGGAGTGAGGGAAACAGCCTGCAGGAGATGTGGAAGTCCTGAGCCCAAATCTGTGGTACTAGACAGGAACTGGAGGAGCTAGAATTGAACAGGGCAGTTTCCCTGATTGGCTTTTCTGCCTGCAGGGTTTCTCCAAGTCTTGCAGCTGCACCTTCCAGCCTGACCTGTTTGTGCTGCGCCAGGTGGATGTTGTAGTCCTTGAGCCTGATGTGCCTGTGCAACGGGTTCTGTCCAAGGGGGCTAGTAGGCCACTTCATGCCAAGTGAGTAGCATGGGATGGGGGAGGGGTGCATCGGCTGGCCCCTTTAAGCCCAAGAAGCCTCTGCTGACTTTCTTGGGTCCTCTGTCTGCATCGGAAATGTGTTGCAGGATCTTTGTCCCCGAGTACACTGCTGGGATGCGCTTTGAGCTGGGGAAATGCATGGAGAATGGCTCTGCTGCGGCTTGCGCCCTCCAGGTCACCTTGGGTTCGGCTGTGCTCTCTTGGTCTTCCCAGAAGGTGCTTCACTGCCTGGAGGCCTGCAGCATCTTCTTGGCTTCCCCACCATGGGGAAAATGGCTTTGGATCACAGTGGAGAGCCTCGGTGGTGCCAGAGCCAGTGTGTCCTTTCAGATGGTGGTGTTCTTCATAGGTGCGTGCTCTGATCAGAATGCTTGGAATTCGGAATGAGTTCCGGCAACCATGGGGATCTGAGCAAAGGCTCTCTCCATTCCTGTTCAGACTTCTGCTGCTTCTTTCTTTTCTCATCTGACCAAGAGAATGGTAGCCCCTGCTTTGAGGAAGGGGAGGTCCTGTTTCCACCCAGAAGGGAGTCTTGCCCTCCCCATTCCTCCTACCCATTTGTGTGGTGGAGCATGTGCTTCTCTCCTTGCAGCCTGCAAGCCAGGAGACGCGGCCTCCTTCCTTGGCTTCTACCAGAGGTTGAAGCAGAACCAGGGGATGTCAATGCTGGGAGGCCACCTCAACAGCACACTGCTTGCCATGGGCAGCAGCCACAATGCCTCTGGCCCAGGAAACGCCTGCCTGCATGGCCAGCCAGTTGTCCGTGAGGAACTGGATGTTGTGTCTGTGCGTTTCCGCATTCTTGGAGATTCCACTGTGCCCATTCAGAGCGGTATTCCCACTCTGCTTCTCCTTAACCTAAACTCAGGCATGGATAGTGGAGGGAACCTGGTGTTGAACCTGATGCTGAACCAGGTGAGAATGAACCCCTGCTGTGTGGAGGGCTGAGGGTCAACAGGTTTTGCCTCCTGCCAGAATTCAGAACTGGGATCAATTTTGTCATTGCAGACTTCTGTGGGCCTTGGAAATGCCACTGTGTTGGCCTGCTTGAGCCCCACATCTCCTGCACTTTCCCTGAATGGCTCCTGGGGCTGTTGGACAGGTACGTGGCCAGCAGAGCTGCTTGCCAACAGTCTAGGTGACTGTACTTCCCCTTTCCTGGAGTACCCTGTGTATTTACTCCCAATAATGTGATGGTTTTCAAAGGACATGGACCAACACAGCAGTTGATTTGCTTGCTTCTTCCCCTCCCACCCAGCCTTCGCTCAGGGCTACCTCCTGAACGTGAGCATGTCCTCCAGGGAAGCTGCAGTCATTGTCCCTTACCCACAGTCCGACAGCTGGTATCTGTCCCTGAAGCTGCTCTGCCCAAAGGAATCAGAGTAAGTACTGGCTCTCTGTAGCACAGAGAGAAAACTGCTGC